TGGTAGGGCCTTGTATGCAGAAGATCCCAGGCATCTCCAGGTGGGGTTGGGGATTCTGAAGAGCTCCTGTAGTAGTGTAGATGGTAGCCCAAGTTCATGCATGAAATATTAAAAACCTCACACAACTTCAATGGGATGAAAGGGGAAACCACAAATTACTGCCTACAGGCATGTGGTTCTGGGATATCATATGATTCGGCAGTAATAGTCACGGTTGTTATTTTATTTATTTTATTTATGAATTGCTTCCCATGAGGTATCCTGAATGATTTACAATTTAAAAACCTATGTACAACAGTTACATAAACTGTTAAAATAATTTCATATACTGTATAAAAACAATTATAAACAAAAAACCATTCAACTGAACAACAGGGCATACAGAAAATCAGTTCAACTCAAGACACATACCAGCTGGGATAGAGGCTTATCAGAAGAATAAGGAATGCCTTTAGCAACTGTCAAAAAGACAATAGAGAAGATGCCTGTCTATTATGCCATGGAAGGAAGTTTCTAAAGGTAGATGCCCTCACAATAAAAGCCCAATTCTGACATTATGAAAAATGGATCTCCTGATAGGATGGTATCTGCACAATGCTCTCTTGTGCAGAATTCAATTATTGGTTGGGTATGTAGGGTATGAGGCCATCTTGTAGGTATCCCAGTCGTAAACCATATGGGGGCTTCACACAGCAATTCAAGTCCCCTGAACCTAGCGCACTAGCTAATGAATGCTAAGATATCAAGTTTTCTTTACTCTTCCTCCAATAAAGACTGGAAGATTATTTCTTATAGACCTTGCCAACAAGAGTACAACAATGGGACTCCTTCCATCAGGCGAATAGGTATTTCCCTCGTGACTTGGATTTACCTGGGTTTGTTTCTGCTTCTTGGAAGACAGATAAAGCCATTCCTGTTCATTCAATTCACTGCGGGAGAAAGAAGTTTGAGATACTTCCCCATAAGGAACAGCTGCAACTTTTAGGTCTGCTTCTAGGCTTGAGAGGCCCTTTAGCATGGTGACCTCTGCAGACCTGCTCCCCAACAGTGTCCCTTCCCAGCCTTACCCAGTAGCAGGCATCAACCAGCCACTGCCCCAGATCGCTCAATAATGCACCAAGGCATTGTGGGAAGTGTTAAATGGTGCTCAGAGCCACCTGCCACCTGCTGCGGCCCTGGCCTAAGGATGCTGAAGATGCTTGGAGTGTCCTTCAAACCACTTCTTACACAGATGCAAACTGTGGTATATGCATTTGCACAACAGGCAGCTTTAGCAAATCACAGGCAATGGGAATACCTGTAGGATGACGACTGTCATTTGCAAACACATTTCTTGCATTTACATACATATCAAAGCATGTTACGCACCCCTATAAAATATACATCTCACTCTATAAAAAAAAAAAGATAGTTCAGAGGTTTGTAATTTATATGTCAGAAAAAGCATGGTTATTTCTATTCTGTGGCATTATGTCTAAAACTGTCATCTGGGTTGTTTTTCTATGCACTGCTGTGACTTGATTGAGTTTCTTGCTATGTCCTCTACATTTATATCTTTTTTATTTATTTTTTAAAAAAGCTGAAGCATTAAAAGGATTTGAGGAAGGGATTAAAGTCTTTAGCCTTCCAGAGAGCTCTGAAAGTTATTTATCATCTTAACTCATGTGAAACTCAAGCATCTATAAATCTCTCAATAAATTCACAAGCACTAGGAGTGGCAGTAGGCAAAGTAAAAACCACCCAGACTCTTGCACATTATGATGTATTGCGTAAAGCCCACCTTTAATGCTTCCTTTGCTTAGGCAGAGGAACACTAGAGCCCTGCCATAGTTCACTATGAGTCAGTGTACTCATAGTACACTATTGTGGTCTTGAATTTTCATATGCAAGGGCAGTAGCTCAGTGGCAGAGCATCCACCTGGAATGCAGAAGGCCTCAGGTTCAATCCCCACCATCTCCAGGTAGGACTGAGAAAACACTCTTGCCTGAAACCCTGGAGAGCTGCTGCCAGTCAGTGCAGCCAGAAGTGAGCTAGATACACAAGTGGCCTGACTCTGCGCAAGGAAGCTAGTTCCCTGTGTTCTATATATAAAGTTATAGATTTCAAATGCATGCCTGGATAGTCCTGTTTGTTTCATCAAAGTAAAACATTTCCTCTAAATTTCAAATCCCATCCTGAACATATGAGGAGGAGAGGATTACTGGGTTGTTTTTGTTTTTATTATGTGTTTTTACATATAGTGATTTTATGTTATGAACTGCCCTGAGACCTGCGGGTATAGGGTGGTATACAAATTTAATAAACAACAACAACAACCATCCCTAATAGCATCCTTTGCAAATTAAATAATAAAAATTAAAATTAAAATTTATTATTTATAGCTCGCCCATCTGGCTGGGTTTCCCCAGCCACTCTGGGTGGCTCCCAACAGAATATTAAACAGAATAAAACTTCAAACATTAAAAACTTCCCTAAATGGAACAGTGGTTTCCCCAATGCCTTAAAAATGCCAAGAAAACCTTAAAGCCTCTGTTATTTTTATACAACCCATGCTCTGGTCCATGGGGTCACAAAGAGTCGGACATGACTAAACGACTAAACAACAACAATCATATTTTCAATACACTTTACCAAAAAAAATCCATTTAAATATAACTGCAGAAATATAACTACCCTAGAGGTGACACAGATCATAAAAGCAACATAAGCATGTCAGCAGGATTCAAACTGTATCTAAAAACTTGGGGAAATTAGCTTCCGGGGGGCGGCGCGAACGGCAATGGCGGTCTTCTCCCGACGGGAGAAGAGGCTCCGCTGAAATCGGGTCGTCCGCTACGGCGAAGCGGAGACCCAACGAGGAAAACCCCAGGCAGCAAGAGCCTGGGGTCCTGAGGCTCGGCGGGCGCCAAGAGCAGCCCTCCAACTGCAGAAGGAGCCTCGTAAGGCTCCGGAGCGTGGAGGGGGGTTGCGGCGCTGTGAGCCGTTTCACAGTCAGCGGAGTGAAGCCGCGCTGCTGCTGCCGGTGAGCGCTGATCCCTTTTCCTGTTAAAATTCGGACCTGGAAGAAAACAACTTACTCGTGAGTAAAGACTGAATCACTTGGAATTACAAATTTTAAATGAGAAGGTTAAATTTGGCTTGAACTTGGCTGAAAGCGGAGAGACGTGGAAACAGGAAGTCCGTCTTCCGCTGCCATTGAACTTGGAAAAAAAGCAACTAAGGCGGAGGAGTGGAGGCTGAAAGAAAGAGACTTTAAACTCTACACAGTCAAGCATCTATGGAACTTACAATTTAAAGTAAAACTAGTAAGTTAAAGATTTGGATCTTTTATTTGTACTTGACTTTCCCCCTTTTATTGGATTACAAATTGGAAGGTGAAACCCAGAGTCAGGATTGCTTGAGCACTGTAAGAGCGAGCTGTCAGTGTTGATTTGGATACTGTATATTAGAAGTTGCAACAATCTGAGGGTATTGAGACCTTTTAAATTTGAAACATTCTTTTTGGAGACAAATAAGCACTGTCTGCAACAAAGTGATTACTTTTAAACTCTGCTTAATACTTATATTGGAAGGTTCTGGGACATTAAATCAGACTCTGAAAGACATCTTAAGCTCCCTCTAGAGGATTGGATTAAAACAGTGACTTTACAAATACATTTACTTTCGATTCCCTTGTTGTTTGCTTGCTCTGGGCCTCTCTATTCCTGTGGGAAAAACTCAGTGTGACCTTGACTTATAGATAACATTGGAATGAGTGGTACAAGAAGAAGAGGAAGAGTTAGACAAACAACTCTAACAAATCTAACCTCAGCCTCGCAGACACGTAGATCATCTGTGCCTACTTTGCCCTCAGAAGTACAACTTGAAGAAGCTGACTTGCCACAGGCAAAAGAGGGAGAGGGTGAAGCAGAGCAGTTACAATTGGAAGATATGGCCTCAGGATCATCTGTTTCTGTGCTAGAAAAAATCTTTGAAAAATTGGAAGCTTTGGACAAGAAAGTAGATGCGCAATCAGCAAAGATTGATAAAAATACAGACTGTCTAAACAAATTAACTACACAGGTGGGACAGAATACACAAGCAATTGGACAGTTGACGGAGGCCTCACTAGAAAATCGAAAATTGGCTGAGGATACCAGACAAAAATTGGAAAATTTAGAGCAAGAGGTAAGACCACTCACTAAACAAGTTGGGGAACATCAGACTTATCTTTCTATGATAGAACTGCGAAATCGTGAGAACAATTTGAGGATTAGATCATTACAAGAGGCAGAAGAAGGAAATCTAACTGAGTTTTTGACCAAAGAACTTTCCAAGTTCTGGAATTTGGAAGAAAAGGACTTTAAAATTGTGTCAGCTTTCAGACTTGGAAGATTTATAAAGAAGGAGAGGCCCAGGGATTGTTTGATTACATTGAGATCGAAGGAGGAAAGGGATAAGATTTTGGGTCTACATTACGAAAAGTCACTGGAGGTTTTGGATAGAAGAATTGAGATATATAAAGATATCCCAAGACAACTGTTGGACCTTAGAGCCGCCTACTCTGAACTTGCTAAACTACTAAGGAGCAACGCAATTCCATTCAGGTGGGAATTTCCCCAAGGATTATCTTTTACCTTTAGAGCGAGAAAGGTCAAAATTAGAACATTGGAAGAGAGAGATAAATTTCTGGCTACATACGGAGAGGACCTACATAAAGGAATTGAACTACCTTCCGGGCCTGGGGCAAAGCCAGCGTCAATACCTCCACCTGGGGAGCTTGAAGACCCAGAGAAGACACCACCCCGGGAGAAATAACCAGACAGATCCAGGATGTCTCTGCAACTGTTGAGCTGGAACATTAATGGTTGCAATATTCCGGAGAAAAGGAAGAAAATATTTCATATATTAAAAAAAGAACAATTGGACATTATTTGTTTACAAGAAACACATGTGACGAGGCTCCACAGAAAAGTGTTAATAAATAAAAGATTGGGCCAGGAATTTATTTCGTCGGACAAAGTGAAGAAGAGAGGAGTGGTGATATATGCAAAAGAGAGCCTGTCACCTAAATTTCTATTTAAAGATGAACATGGAAGGATTTTGGCTATTGAGATACAATATCAAGGAGAGAAACTGCTGATATTAGGAATCTATGCGCCCAATGAAGGGAAATCGGAATTTTACAAGAAGTTGCAGGGGACAATGCTGGATCATCTGGATTACAACAACATCATAATGATGGGAGACATGAACGGGGTCGTGTCAACTAACATGGACAAGTCGCAAAGTCAAAATGTCACAAAAGATGGCAGACTACCTAAAACCTTTTTTGAAATGACTGACAATATGGACTTGATTGACATTTGGAGAACAAAGAACCCACTAGGTAGAGAAGGAACATTCTTTTCTGAAGCCCAACTGACCTGGACAAGAATCGACCAAATATGGATCTCTAGAGGCCTGGCACCTAGGGTTAGAAAAGTGGAAATCTGCCCAAAGACCTGCTCTGACCACAACGCAGTAAAGATGGATATGACACTACTACCAACTGGATCCTTTAGATGGAAGATGAATGACAATTTGTTTAGAGATCAGGAAATTACCAAGAAGGCCCAAAAAGTTTTGAAAGACTATTTCGAGATAAACATGAACAATTCGGTGGAAAAAGAATCGTCTGGGACGCAAGCAAAGCTGTCATGAGGGGATTCCTGATACAACAGAATGTAGTAAAGAAAAAAACACAAAATGAGAAAAAGACAAGATTTTGGATAAAATAAAAGAATTAGAGAAGAAATTAAGAGTGAATCCAAAGTCACAGCCAACTCTGAGAGAAATTAAACTGTATCAAACACAATATTCTAAATTGATAAATCAGGAAATTGAATGGAAGATTAAATTAATGAAACAAAAATCGTTCGAGTCGGCGAATAAATGTGGAAAACTGCTATCTTGGCAGTTGAAGAGAAGACAAAGATTAAATACGGTTACAAATTTAGAGGTCGATGGAAGAAACATCCAGAATCCAGTGGACATTAGAAAGTGTTTCCAGAGATATTTTAAAAAACTATATACCCAAGGGCCGCAAGACGAAGTTGAGATTAAACAATTTTTGGCAAAAATGGATTATCTAAACTGTCACAAGAAAATAGGACAACCCTGAACTCTAAAATAACACGACAGGAGATTGAACAAGCTATTCAGAACATGCAACTCGGCAAATCTCCAGGGCCAGACGGGCTGACCTCCAAGTATTATAAGACACTAAAAGACTATTTGATACAACCCTTGATGGAGGTTAGCAATGAAATTATGGAGGGGAAGAGGGCACCCGATTCGTGGAAGGAAGCGTTTATCACATTGATACCAAAGTCAGAAGCTGAAAAGACACAACTGAAGAACTACCGTCCCATCTCCCTTTTAAATGTGGATTACAAAATATTTGCAGATATTTTGGCAAGTAGATTTAAAAAAAGTTTTAAATGAAGTAATTCACAAGGACCAGGCCGGTTTTCTCCCAGGTAGACATCTGTTTGCTAACACAAGGAACATTATTGATATTTTGGAACTTCTCCAAACTGACATAAATACAAAAGCAGTTTTAATTTTTATAGATGCGGAGAAGGCCTTTGATAATATTTCTTGGAAATTTATGATGGGAAACTTAAAAGAGATGGGAGTGGGACGGGGTTTTGAGAATGGGATTGAGGCGATATATTCAGAACAGAAAGCTAAACTGATAGTTAATAATGTGGTTACAGAAGAGTTCAAAATTGAAAAAGGGACACGACAAGGCTGCCCTATCTCCCCTTTGTTATTTATTTCGGTTCTGGAAGTGCTATTGAACATGATTAGAGGGGACCAGTTGGTGGAAGGAATTCAGGTTGGTCAGAAACAATATAAACTAAAAGCTTTTGCAGATGACCTGGTTTTGACCTTGCAGAAGCCAGAGCCTAGTACGAAAAGAGTATTACAACTGATTAATGACTTTGGTCGGGTGGCGGGATTTAAATTAAATAAACAGAAAACCAAGGTTTTGGGGAAAATTTGACTGAGACAGAGTCAGAACGGTTTCAGAATGAGACGGAACTTAATGTGGTTAAAAAGTAAAATACCTAGGGGTAAACATAACAGCAAAAAATCTAAGTCTATTTAAGGATAACTATGAAAAATGTTGGACAGAAATTAAGAGAGACTTAGACAGTTGGTCAAAATTGAAACTTTCTTTGTTAGGCCGAATTGCTGCGATTAAGATGAATGTATTGCCAAGAATGTTGTTTTTATTTCAAACACTTCAGGTTTTGGACAAAATGGAGTGCTTTCAGAAGTGGCAGAGAGACATTTCGAAGTTTGTCTGGCAGGGCAAAAAGCCCAGAATTAAGTTTAAGATACTAACTGATGCAAAACAAAGAGGGGGCTTTGCCCTGCCGGACTTAAAGTTGTATTACGAAGCCGCAGCGTTCTGCTGGCTAAAAGATTGGCTACTTCTTGAAAACACTGATGTGTTGGATTTGGAAGGGTTTAACAATGTTTTTGGATGGCATGCATATTTATGGTATGACAAAGTTAAAGCAAATAAGGCCTTTAAGAACCATATTGTTAGAAAATCACTGTTTAATGTCTGGACAAAATATAAAGACTTGCTGGAAAATAAAACACCAAGGTGGCTTTCACCTTTGGAAGCTAAGGCCCGAAAAAGACCCAATATGGAGGCCAAATGGCCAAAATATTGGGAAATACTAGAAAAGATGGAGACAATTGGAAATTGCAGAGTTTGGAGAAAATGAAAGACAAAGTGCGAGATTGGTTACATTATGCTCAGATTAAAGAAGTTTTTAAAAATGATAAGAAACTAGGGTTCCAGGTGGAGAAATCGAAATTAGAAACAGAATTGTTAGAACCAAAGACTAAGATACTTTCAAGGATGTATAACTTGCTGTTGGAATGGAATACACAAGATGAAATGGTTAAATCGGCTATGATAAGGTGGGCACAGGATATTGGGCATAACATTATGTTTGAGGACTGGGAAAGGCTGTGGAGTAATGGATTGAAATTTACTGCATGTAATGCTTTGAAAGAAAATGTAATGAAAATGATTTATAGATGGTATATGACCCCAGTCAAACTCGCAAAAATTTACCACCTGTCTGATAACAAGTGCTGGAAATGTAAAGAGTGTGAAGGAACGTTCTTTCACCTCTGGTGGACCTGCCCTAAAGTGAAGGCGTTCTGGGAAATGATTTATAATGAATTGAAAAAGGTATTTAAATATACTTTCACTAAGAAACCAGAGGCTTTCCTTTTGGGTATTGTCAGCCAAGGGGTGGCAAAGAAGGACCAGACATTTTTATGTATGCAACAACAGCAGCAAGGATACTACTCGCAAAACATTGGAAAACTCAAGATCTACCCACACTGGAAGAATGGCAGATGCAACTGATAGACTATATGCAACTGGCTGAAATGACTGGCAGAATCCGTGACCTGGGAGAAGAGAGAATCGAGGAGGATTGGAAGAAATTTAAGAACTATCTACAAAAGCATTGTGATTTGACTGAATGCTGAATAAGATGCTAGACTAAATAACTGAGCACCACTTAACTTAGAAGTTTTTAAGAAAATAAGAAAAATTGTGAAAGTTTAACTCTTTATGAGAACTTTAAGATTATGAAATATCGAAGAGATATAAGAACTTAAATAAGATGATAAATTGCTGACAAAATGTTATAATGATGAAGGTGGGAGCGGGAGATGTGAGGAAGTCCAAAGAAAATGTGAAATAATGTTAAGACGAATGTTATATTGTTTATTACATTTATTCCTATTGTAAAATCCAATAAATTGCTTTAAAAAAAAAAAAA